CTTCCATTATCTGGGATCCCTGTTCTCCAAGACACCCATGTAATTCGATCTCTCAACCCCTCTGCCTTTATTCAAATATCACCTTATCGAAAAGGTCGTCTCTGAACACCCTAGACAACAGCATACCCTCCCTGCTCACTCTCTATTCCCCTTATCTTGCTTCCCCCATAGCACTTCTAATTATTGTTATATATTTGAATCTCTGTTTATCTTTCTTCAGTGGAATACAATTATATACATATCCTGTCAATTCTACAGGAATCATTGTGGTTTCACATCTGCCTCCTTGTTTAGATGTTACGGAGTAGAGGCCGGGGACTGTGTCATCTTTACCTCTGTGTTCTCAGCACTTGGTTTGGGGTCCCAAACTTCACAGGTGTTCTATGAACACTTTTAAATAAATAAATTTAAAGTGTGATTTCTTCTAATCTTCCATTCTGACTATTTTGACCTTCATTCATTAACTACTATAAGGTCGTATTGCACTTAGAGCTAAACCACATCACCAGCACTTGTTACTAAACTATGTTAGTCTCTTATTCTTTTAGGTTCTTAATTATTATGCTACCTGGTGTCCCATCTGATGCAAACCTAGTAGTGTAATTGAAATAGTGTCAACCTCTGGTCAGGCCCGTCTTCCCTGGGAGGCACCGGAGGTACAATATCAAAAGCCGATCCTTTTTCTCCCTTAACCCAAGATTCATCCTTTTGCCCCCACCTCCTCTATGAGCACCCTGGCACCCTAATAGCAGAGATCTGAAATGCAGCTTCCCCTCTAAACCTATCTTTCCCCATATTTTCTGCTGAATGTCCTCACCAGCTCTTTCTTTCATTCATTGATTAACTAATTCATTCAACAAATATTGACTAAATGCCTTCTCTATGCCAGGCACTGTGCTAAATACCAAGCAAAATCAAAATAGAACATACAGAGTCTCTTCCTTCTATGGAGTTTACACTGGAGGAAATGAAATTAAACTGTAAATTAATATATATCTTAAGTTTAAAATCAGTAAGTGCTAGTGAGGTATTTGGTACTAAGATAGAGACTAGCAAGCAGAAATCTGATTTGGATAAGATAGTTAGGACAGGAGGGGATATTTATTTAATTTTAAAATATTTTATTCAGAGCCCTGGCTGGCATAGCTCAGTGGAATGAGCATGGGCTGCAAACCAAAGCATCAAAGGTTCGATTCCCAGTCAGGCCACATACCTGGGTTGCAGGCCATGGCCCCCAGCAACCGCACATTGATGTTTCTCTCTCTCTCTCTCTTTCTCCCTCCCTTCCCTCTCTAAAAATAAATAAATAAATAAAATCTTTAAAAAAATAAAAAATATTTTGTTCACAAATGTTTAGAGAGAGGGGAAAGGAGGGAAAAAGAGAGGGAGAGAAACATCAATCACCAGCAATCTTTTAGTCCGCAGGCCGGCGCTCAATCCACTGATCCACACCAGCCAGGCCAGGAGAGGATATTTAAGTTACAATCTAAAGTAAGGGAAAGCTGAGCCCTGGCCAGGTAGCTCAGTTAGTTAGAGCATTGCCCTGATACACCAAGGTTGTGGATTTCATCCCCAGTAAGGGCACATACAAGAAGCAACCAATGATGAATAAATAAGTGGAACAACAAATTGATGTCTCCCCCTCTCTCTCATTAATAAATTTTAAAAAATTTTAAATAAAAGAGAGGGAAGCTAGCTATCTATACAAAGAAGATGGGGAGAAGGAGGGATCTGGCAAACAGAACGGCATCTACAAAGGCCCAGAGGCAGCACTGAGCTTGCTGTGGTGAGCAAGGCAGAATGGCAGGAGATATGACTGAAGAAGTAGAGGTGGGCGGAGCAGTGAGAGCCTTATAAGGCAGTGTAAGGGGAGGAATTGAACCAACTCACGCTCAAAGATGAATCCATTTTTCAAAACTTAGTCCATAGCTGTGAGAATAATTGATTGGGAGGCAAAGAATAGAGTTGTAACCCAAGTCAGAGCCAACAATGGTCTGTGGTAAAGTGCATAGTGGAAACAGTGGACTCTCTAATCCAAGTTAAAACTTTGACCTTTACTATCTCCTTTACTTTTTCTAGCAACATGCACTCCATCATAAAATCTTAGAGGTTCCAACCTTTACCCTTTCTCACACATGACTCCTTATGTCTCTGTTTCCAGTGACCCAAAGCAGGTCCGTGTAACCTCTCACCTGCATGACTAGCAGCCCCATTGCCAACCTCAGCTTTCAGTCTGGACTTGTTCCAATTCAACCCGCACGATGTTGCCAGAGCAAACTTTCAAAAACCACAACTCTGACCATGTTTCTGTTCTGCTCAAAATCCCCCAAAGGCTGAATAGTTTAGGAGTCAAGGTCCCTGAGAGTTCAGCCCAAATCCAGTCAAACCTGGTGCTTTTTCCGTCTCTATTCCTTCCTGTGTTATTCTCTCATTAGAATACATCACCCTTTCTCCATATTAATTCCCATTTTACATATACAGGAACTGAAACTCTGAGTGCCTAGTAATGTTAGAACCAGAGTCTCAAGCTAGAGGTTGTACTCTTAACTATTATACTCTATTTAAAAATGCAGCCATTAAAATTCATATTTAGAAGAATACTTAATTATATGGGGAAATGCCCATCTTAAATAATTAAAATTTGAATTTTAAATGTGTTGCAAAACTATGTATAATATAATTATAATCTTATAAAATTGATTATATTTGTGAGATATAACTGGGGGTGATTTTTGTTTCCATTTTATTTGTCTCGTTTTTCCAAACTTTTTACAATTACCATATGTTACTTTTATAACAAACAATAATCATAAAAATGATTAGGGGAACATATCCCATGTATCCTTTAAGGCTTTCCTCAAGTACTGGCATTTCCTGCCTCTGCTCTCTCTCACCCCTACCACCACTCAGTACTTTCTTACCTTTTCTCTCCCCCGTCTTCTTTCATGATTGTGACCTAACATACCTCCCTGCCAAACCAAAATGTCCTTGAGTGATGACACTATGTCTTGCTTATTGTCACATTCCTCCGTTCCCAATTATTGTATGATATGTGGCTGAAGCCAATATGAATCATAATTTAGATTTTTTAAAGGCTGACTAAAATGCCAGAAATGTCAGGAAAGAGAGGCCATCCAGATAAGAGCTACAGAGTAATCTTGAGAAGCCCAGTGAAGTGCCTCAGGCCACCTATGAACCCAAACTGACTTCGAAAGTAGGTGAGGGAAGGCAGACTAGAACAACAGGATCCTGTAACTCAGATCAGTGGACTCTCGGAAAATTCTTCTACCCCTTGAGGACAAAAATGTACCTAAGAGTCCTTCATGTTATGAAGAATCACTTGCTCATATGTACTGAGCACCTATTGTGTGCCAGACTCTGACAATAGGTTCAGGAGGGGGAAAGGCAGATGGGGTCCCTACTTCAGGAAGCTTACAGAATGTTTGCTGAGGGAGAGGTTTATATAAATAAACCTAGATACAGTGGTGCCTTGGTACTCATCGTTAATTCATTCTGGAGCTAGTGACAAGTTCCAGAACTAGTGACAAGTGCCAAAAGTGATGAGTACTGATTGATGAAGCATTTTCTCTGGCAGGGTGGTGTCATGACTCATACAAGTTCTAGCAAGTGTGATGAGTCCCAAGCAAGCGCTAAGTACTGAAACCTCTTTCTTCTTGTCAAAATGCAATGAGCGGGGGTATGACTGTACTTAGATGTACAATTATAATTTCAAGGATGAGGAAAGTTGTCCAGGTGCTAGGGAAATCTGTAAAATAAGACTTGACCAAGTCTGAGAGAGAGGTTTAGATGAGAGAGGACTGTCTGTGCTGAGAGCTGAATAGTGTTCAGGAGTTCGCTAGGTGGAGAGAAGCCTAGAGAAACCTTTCTGGCAGAAGGAATGGTGAGTGGGAAGGGAGGAGGCATAGAGTGAGGCATTTCCTGAGATGAGCAGAAAGGGGAAACTCCATCAGAGCCAGTTACAGGCCTTGTTGGCAATCTGTTGAATAATGTGATTTGGTCTCCAAACAGCTCTTCCTTCTGTTCTCATAGCTTAGAATCCTAGGCTTGAAAGTTTGGATAAAAAAGGGGTTTTACTGAAAGTAATTTCATAGGGTGATGTAATCATAAATTCCTAACTGGGAAGGTCATGGTGGGTAGTCATGCCCCAGGCACATAACCTCTTTAATATAAGGTTTACTCTTTGCCTTATGCAAGCAAAGGCATTTTGTTTGCTCTACATTGTTCTTGTATATCTAGGTTAACACATTTTTAAAACGCCAGAGTAATCCTTTTTCTTTCAGACAACTAGGAGGCATAATCACCCTCAAGGGAGCGCAGAATCTTGTTAACTACCCTGTAATCCAACCCCCACCTTGCTTTCTCCCACCTTCATTTAATCTTCCTTATGTTCCCTTCTTAATTCCAAATTCAGGAAAGAAACTCTGAACTGTCATTCTGGAAAGCATTTTTTCATCAGTCTGTTGAGAACTTGCTTCTGGTTGTATCCTGTTTGGCTCAAATAAATTTATATAAAAATACAAGTTTGGACCTTGTCACAAGATCAATCTTAGAAGCACTGTCATCTCACCTTCCATGCAAGGCACCCAAATACTCCCATTTTACACACATCCAAGGAAGGTACCAGAACACTAATCTATAAGCAATGAACTGCAGAGCCAAGATAGTCTTGTTAAAGCTCAATATCCAGCATCCAATGTATTGCCTGGCACTTAGCTATATTATGTAAATCACTTGTGGATTCAAGGAACAGGTATACTTTAAAAGTGTATTCTTCAAAAATGATGGCATGGATCATTTCCCCAAGTTAGAGACTGGTATTTCCCTCTCTGCTTAGGCCCGTTGGCCCTTGAAGCCCCTTTGGCCCAGTGTGGGAAGGCCAGGCTGCAGGGAGGCACTCCCCCATTCACAGGGGCGTGCTCAGCCTGGGTTGGCGCGGAACCCTTTCGAGGCGGAACTTCGGCCGGGCGGTGCCGCAGTCCAGCGGACAATCAAGAGTGAAGCACCCTGCCGGTCGGGAAGGAGCTGACGCGAGCTGGTCCCTGGCAGCCATCAGCCACCGCGCTTTGAGGTTCGGTTTCGACACCAAACTAAGGAATTGCATTCTCTCCAGTCGCAGGTGAGTGATGGCCTCTCCTCCCAGGAGAACCGGCGGGCAGCAGCTGTAGATCTCTAGGCAGGCGACTTTTGGGGGGTCAGGGCCCACCCAGCCTCGCTGCCCGTGGAGGGGTGCCCCTTTTCCGCCCCGGAATCAGGCGGCGCGAGGCAGGATGGGTTCCTTTTCTGATGTGCGGGGCCACTGTGATGGTCCTCTGGCAGGACACGGCTGCTGTCCATCCGCAGGTTATTTCAGGAAGAACGAGATGACTCTGAACTGCAGGCAAGCCCTTTCTTCCCCTCGGCCTCAGTTTCCTCCCCAGGCGAGGTAAGGGCGGCGGGAACCTTTGACGGCTCGAGAGGCTGTGACATGGTGTGTTGTTTTCAGGTCCCCCAGTTAGTGTCTTCCCATAGCCAACTCCCATTTTAGCGGGGAAAAGATACACTACCGGGGAAAGCTGTAATGATTTGTAAATTGTTCCAAGATTTTACAACAAGACAGAAATTTGTTTTGACAGCAGCGAAAACTCTGACACCGTTGGCTAAAAGAACCACACTCGTCAGAAATTTAGGGTATTTGGTACATGGGGCAAAATCAGGTGAAGATAGAAATCCTTTTATATTGAAAAATTAAGACTAGTATCATTGGCATGTTTTTATATCAAGATTTGTATTACTACATGTCTTACTCTGAAGAATGTTCTGTGTCCAGTGTTAAGTATGAGTTAAGAGTAAGTCACATTGAAACAAATGAAAGAAAAAGAAAGGAACACTGACTGTGTGTAAGGCCCTACACATACAACAATCCACTAAGGAAGGTGGTAGTATCACTTCTATTTCACAGATGAGGAGTAAAGGAAGACTTACAATTTGTCAATGATTAGTGGTGATTATCAAAGCAATTTGTAATATTGTTTAGTGGATTTGCATTTGTCACCAAAATATTTTGAACTTTAAAAACTTTAAGATTATGTAGTTCATGGGCATTTCTTGAGTTTGCAGAAAAGGAAGGTATTGTCTTTATTTTAGAAATGTTAAAAGAGTGTTTTCAATAATTGTGAAGATTAGCAGTTTAAATAAGGTACCTTTAACTTTCTTTTCCCTGCATTTCAAGCAAGAATTGAGTCAAAAGATTAGGCTATCAGAAATAAAAGTCACTGCCATGTCATTTGAAGCTTACAAATCAAAATTCTATAGTAATGATTCATTATTTCTCCACCCTCTTCTCTTGGCTGAAACTCATTTAGATTATTTCTGCAAAACATTACTAAGCAAATCGTTTTCAAATCGCAGTGTTGAAGTTTCTCTTCCTTGTGCATAGCTTTTAGAGCGTCAATTAAAAGTATTTAAAGGATCGAATTTGTCGTTGCTTATGTCAATTTTCGTTTTGTTAATTTAGTATAAGCAAGTTCAGTACTCAGACTCACAGCTTTTTTCATAACATAGTTTTTTTTTTCCCTCTTAAAAAAGTCCTACTATTTCTTTTTGTCAACGGTTTAACCATCTTTCAATGGAGTGCCACTTTTCCCCATCGGAAACTTGAGTACTTGTTCTTAACTACGTGAGCCAAAAGGTCTTGTTCCATTATTGTGAGTGCTATGCATTCAATACTAAAATGTTTTTTTAAGTTTATGTGCATCACTGCTTCAAAGCTTTAAAGGCCATAGGAAGGAAATCTAACAATTTTAGGGGAGAATATAAAGCAGCAGTGTCTTGAGACATTGAACATGGTTACCATCTACACAGGGCCTTGCTGAAATTCTGCAAAACATGGTCAGGAAGAGTTTTTGGCCTCTTTTTAAAAACATTTTTATTTACTGACTTTTTTTTTTTTAGAGAGAGAGAAAGGGAGAGGGAGACAGAAACATCAATTTGTTGTTCCACTTATTTATGCATTTGTTGGTTAATTCTCATATGTGCTCTGACCTGGGATTGAACCCGCAACCTTGGAGTATAGGAAGGACACTCTAACCAACTGAGCTGCCCAGCCAGGGCCAGATTTTGGCCTTCTTTATATTTCTAGTATTTCAGTTCAAGAGAAAGGTGTGTATAATTCCTAAATTAGCTTACAGATAGTATACCCATCTTACAGATTTTGTACATGTTTTAGTCATAAATCTGATACAGTTATGTAGAAAATTATGATTAATCTCTTCTAGTGAAACTTTTTTTTTAACTTGGAGTGTAAAGAAACTAGTCTAGTGCCTATTTTGGAGCCAGTCAATGACAGTGTTGTTTAAAGTAAAATCAGAATATCATTACAAATTTTTTCATACTAAAAGTTGTTAATGTTGAAGTTAATTTGAAAATTGACATTTAAAGTTTTGTTCATTGAATGTAGTCTGAATGAGTTAAACTACCTTATAGTGTATATTATTCAAGGTGTTTTCAAGTGCACTATCATATTTAATCCTTCTTACCACTCTGTAAAGCAGATGGTGTTCTTATTATATGTAGGAGAAAACTGGGGCCCAAGGGGAGTGATTTTCCCAGAATGAAATAATAGTATTGATACTTCAAAAGACACACATTAAATCTATATTTTTTAAATTCTAGAATCGGTACTGTATCCATTTTACCTCAGCTCTACCATTATTTACTTTCCAACTTATTATTAATTGTATAATCCACTCTGATATCGTATCCATTGTATTTAGACTACCCTAACTTTTAGTTTCCCCCAGCTGTGCTTTCTGGAGTATCTGTATCCTGTTGTGTTATGTGTATTTTTTCCCTTAAAGTACATACCTAACTGGTTCTGCCTAATTACTTATATACACTTGTCAATATTAAAAGGTCATATAAATGTGTAAATTTGACTTTGATTTTTTTATAATGGCTGTACTGAGATCATGTGTCATAAATTCACCCTATAACCCCAGTGCAGGGCCCTTCGTGCACTCATAGTGTTGTGCGGCCACCACCACCATGTGACCCCAGAACATGTATTTCATCACCCTTAGAAGAGACCTGGACTCAGTAGCAGTCACTGCCGGCTGCCCCTTCCCCTCCTGAAAAACACTCATCTACTCACTCTGAGGATTTGCCTGTTGTGGACATTTCACACCAATGGAATTATCCATATAAGTTTAATGGAACGAGGCTTTGGGAAGTTATTTTTAACCCGAGAGGCTCTGTGCCATTACACCCTTAGCACTGATTTTCATGTTACTTGAGCAGATCACTTTTCTAACCTGCATAAGGCCTTTTCCTGTTTGGTGTCCATGCAATAAATAAATCTGCTGACGTGTATGTGTTTCCTTGTTCTTGACCTTTGCTCTTCACATGTCTTAATAGGGTGTTCATGGTGTTGTGTAACCTGTTCTCAGGGCTCAGGTATCTGTGGCTAAGTAACTTTTATTCTTAGTCGGGCATTTTTACCTCTATTTTAAAATGACTAATGAAAGCTCCTAGCTTGTTTTAATGTTCTTGGAAACCACAAGTTTATAGAAATATAAGTATCTCATTATCTTTTAAAGCAGAGTTTCCCAATATAGGTTATTACATTATTTCTCCGGGGACAAATTTTACAGCAGCAAATAGCCACCATCCTTATGGAAAAACAAAAAAACAAAAAAACCTTTTTCCTTCAAGTTTTACCCCATTCTGCCCTCCTTATAGCTCTCATCTACCAAAGCCCTCTTTAGTGAGAACTTGGCTACTTGATTCAGTCTTGGGTTCTGTAGCAGAGCCCTGTCTTCTTCTAGATGATCCCACTGCCCATCAGCGTGGACAGCGAATCCTATGGTTTGGCTTCCCCATCTTTCCCCCCAGCTCTCCTCGGCTCTCTACGCCAGCGCCAGGCCTTGGAGCTTGCCACCACCTGGACTTCATCCTCTCTTGAATTCTCGAACCCCACTTTGCTAGCACAGCTGTAGCCCACCTTTCACTTCCCTCACTCTTCTACTGCATCTGGGCCTGCTTTCCCACTAAAGACTTCCCCAGTTCTGTGCTGTGAGAACCCCACTGTTGATCCCCATCCCATGCACCGTCTGCCTTATACCTTTGTCCACCCAGCCTGAACTCTGATCAGATCACGTTCTCATGTCTCACTCGTACTTTCAAATTCCTGTTGTCTCTTTTTTTTCTTCTAAGATTTTATTTAGTTATTAGAGAGAAGGGAAAGGAGAGAGAAAGAGAGGGAGAGAAACATCAATGTGTAGTTGCCTCTCACTGACCCTCAACTGGGGACCTGGCCCACAACCCAGGCCTTCACTGGGAATCGAACCAGTGACCCTTTGGTTTACAGGCCAGTGCTCAGTCCACTTAGCCACACCAGCCAGGCCTTTTCTCTTTTTTTTTTAGTTTCTATTCTGAAAGTCCCTAATTCTCTTTTACTCAGTGTTCTCTAAAGTTAAGCATTGCTGGAGAGTGAGGGTGGGGAGGAGTGGGGCAGAGATTGGAAATCAGTGCAGGTTGGCACTGCTCTGACGGTTTTAATTCTCTACACCCCTTCTTCCCTCTGGGAGTCAGCTTCCTGCCAGCTCCACTATACATTCCCTGCCTCTTCCTGTAATCTTGGAGGAAGCGTTGTGCTCTCAGTCCAGGCTCTTCTTGAAACTTTGCCCTTTTTGGTCAACTCCTTCCTTCTCCTTCTCTCCCGTCTTTAATCTCTTCCCTTCAGTTTATCAACATACTTGAGCCTCACCCTTCCTTAAGAAGAAAATCTCATTTCCCTCATTTCACTTAGACCATTCTGAAAGAGAAATCTCTCCTCACTGCCTGTATCTATTAACCTCCATCTCATCCACTTCTTAAAAACAGCAACCAAGTATTAAATACTGACTTTGTGCATTGTATCTCATGTGGTCTTTACAACAGCCCGAGAGATTTTGCAGAAGAAACTTGTAACTGGTTCAGGGTCACATAGTTAATGAATTGTGGAGATAGGCTCTCCTGTCCTACGGCACCACCTCGGGCTGCTCATGTTCTCAATGGTTGTCTCCTTGTCACCAAAGCCAGCCATGACATCTCTGCAGCTGTATATGATGGTACTCACTTAATTCCTTTCCAGTTTGCCACTGCCTCTTATAGTTCGACCCTTCAGGGGTTCCGCTGGCTCTTCCACCCCATCTGTCCTTTAGAGGCCATCTTGGGTGATGGCTCACTTCTGTAGCCTTTGACTAGTGCTTAAAGGCAGGAGGACTTTAGGCAGAGGTGGTGGGAGAATATTCTGATGTTGGGAAGGACAATGCATAGAGGCTTTAAGGTGGTAAAATATAGGTCACCAGCGGTGAGTAGCAAGTGGTTTACTTTGGCCCAGGAAAAGCTACAAGTAGGGAAGTAATATGTACTAAGCTTGGAAGGAAAACAGTGGCAGTTCTGGAATAATGGACTAGGAGTTTGACTGAATCATTTTTCAGCTTACAACCCTCCAGTGGCTCTCTATCCACATGTATGGGGTGACCACATAATTTCACACCAAAATCAGGACCAATTTTGATAGTGAAAAGAGGCGGTATTAATAATTACACTGAGATAGCTGCTGAGACTGTCCTCAGCAAACGGGGAGTTAGAGCCACCCTGACTATGCAAAAAGTCAAGTCCAAGATGACTTTTCTTTTTAATCCCCACCCAAGGACACTTTTTAGGGAGAGGGGAAGGGAGAGAGACTAATATCGATTTGGAGAGAGAGGCACTAATTGGTTGCCCCCCACATGCAGCCAGACCAAGGGTCACGAGTGCCCAGACTGGGGACTGAACCACAGCCTAGGCATGTGCCCTGACATGGAATCGAAATTGTAGCCCTTGGTTATGGTGCTGCAAACAACTGAACCACACTGGCCCGTGCCAAGATGACTTTTTTTAAAACCCTCACCTGAGGACATGCTTATTGATGTTAGAGAGGGGGGAGGGAGAGAGGAAGGGAGAGAAACACTGACTGGCTGCCTCTCATGCACCCCCCAACCGGTTACCAAACCTGCAACACAGGCATGTGCTCTGACCAGTAATCAAACCCCTCAAAACCTTTTGGTTTATGGGATAGTGCTCCAACCAACTGAGCCACACCGGTCTGGGCCCAAGATGACATTTTGATGAAGCCATTCTTGAGGGTGTATACAAATGGGTAGAAACAAATTTTGAGGTTAAGGTAGCAGTTTAGAAATGTGACATAAGGCTCTCAACTCGGCAACTCCTGTGGGAATCAAAGGAAGTTTGAGACTCCTCCACAGAAGTTGGTAACTGGGTGTGGAATGGGAGGGAGAAGAAGGGTTACATGTTAGTCAGAGTCATGAGCTGAAGAGATTAAAAAATGGTACATAATACTTTAAGCAAATTTGACCTTTAAATCTATTTGTTGTAAGCTTTAGTGTTGCTACATGGGCAAGGGTATGGACTTGGAAGTCAGAAAGACCCAGGTTTGAAACTGTGATGTGTCAATCATTAACAGTTGAATTTTTGTTATTTTTGCTTCAGTTTCCTTTTCTGTAAAATGGGAATAGTAATGTGTTTACTTTGAAAGGCTGTTGGGGTGGTTAGTGGTGACACACGTATGTAAAGTACCTGGCACTGTGGGCCACGTAGTAGAATAACAGTAACAGCAAGCTAATAGTGAATGCTTACTCCATGCCGGATGTGTAACAGTAATTTATTTAATCTTCACAACAACCGTCCTTAGGTAGCTACTCTTTTCCCCACTTTACTGGTGAGGAAAGTGAAGTAACTTGCCTAGGGCAGACAGTAAGTGGTGACGTCGTGGCTCCAGAGCCCCTGCTCATAGCCTCTAGGCCACAGATGCAAACACAAGGCCTGTGGGCCAAATCTGGCCTCCACCTTGTTTCTACTGGGCGGCAGCGCCAAGCTCCTTGCCCCTAGTTAAGGAGTAGTTCATCTATACAGCCCTAAAATGACATTTGCCCTTTGAAGGCAACAGAGAGGCTGATGTGGCCCCCGGTGAAAATGAGTTTGACACCCTGAATTAGACTATAATGCTTATGGGGTTTCAGTAAGGGGTAGCTGTTTTTTGTCTGTTTTGCTTTGTGATATTAAATGAAAGATTGATTTTGTATCCTTTTGTTTATTTTGTTTTCAGATTCTATTTATTTATTTTAAGAGAGAGGGAAAGGGAGAGAGGGAGGGAGAGAAACATCGTTGTGGTGTTTCTTCCAACTGGGACCGGACCCACAACCCAGGCATGTGCCCTGACCAGAAATCAAACCAGTGACCTTTTGCTGTGTGGAATGACGTCCAACCCACTGAGCCACACCAGTCAGGGATTCTGTGTTGTTTTATATATATGGCGAACATGAAGACCAAATGCCTAGATTTGTCTCACATTTGTTTATCACTTTGGCTTCTGCCTCACTAATTAGGACCCATTGATTTTTATTCTCAGTTTTCAGGTTTAACCTCAATCATATTGTCTAATGATACCTGACTTTTTGCTGCCCCCATTTAATTTTGCACCTCTGCACATGATATAACCTTCACAAACTTTTAGTAAATTCTTACTCAGTCTTCAGGATTTGGGCCAAACATCATGCAAGAAACTTCCTTAGTTGCTCCTTGTCGCCATAGAACCATGGGAACGGACTGTGGAGATTTAGAGACAAGCAAGACTTGTGAGCATACGTGTGTCCAGAAGGTACCCAGTCATGTAGTCATGTACTATGAAAAACAGAGGCATTTACCAAAGAAGATACAAGAGACATTGTACACAGGAGACAATGATGCCTCAGTCCTCTTCCAAGTAGGCACATTGGGACCTCACACAGTTCTCCCAGTTGCCATCAGCTGCCCCATTGTATTTTCCTGAATCTCACTGATGGTCTGAAATCTCTTCCTTGTCAAAGGTGACTTTAATTTTGGGAAAATCCAGAAGTTACAGGATGCCAATTCTGGGCTGTAGTGGGGCTAAGTCACCTAGGTGATTTGATGTTTCTCCAAAAAACACTGTATGAACATGATGCATGAGCAGGTGCGTTGTGATGAAGCTACTGGTCACCAGTTACCTATAGCTACGGTCTTCTGAATCATCCAAATAGTTTCCATGGAGGAACGTTCAAGCTTAACACAAAATTTGATGCCGATTTGTTGCTCTACTCACTGAGTCATTTTGAATGTTCCAGCCACACAGTACACAGTGGCATGTACCGTCCCCACTGCCTAGTACAGTGAAGTCGTCATTGTTCATGCATGCACATTCCAGTCCACTCTCCTTGGCTGCCAGGTTACGTCACTGTCTCGCAAACCGTTCTTGTTATATTAACAATGGCTGGACTTTTTCCGACAGACAACCACCTACAATTTTTGATTTCTACGTGATGTAGAATGATAATAGTAAAAGGAGGTATAATTTCAACTGGAGTAAAACAAGAACTATTAGACTTTTGTATATGTAAGTTGCTGTTGTAGATCTCATTCTTGTGATCCTGACACATGAAACTTCATAATTTACCAGTCGCTGTCTTAATCAGGAGCCATCTTGCTGCAGGAACAAAATTCTGCTCATGCTGGTTCAAGTGAGAGTGAGAGGCTGTTTCCAGGACTCACAGCATCTCCTGGTCAACACTGCTAGGCCTGCACAGCATGGGGGTAGGCTGTCTCTGTTCTCTGTCTCCTACTCTCAGGCGATGCGGTCTCTTAACGCCGTACCCTCTAGGAATTCTGGTTTGCTGGGCCCGGCCGTGTCTAACTGGCAGCCCGCGGGAATGAGAAGCAGGCAGAGAGAGCAGTGCTGTGTGCCACGCTCTATCTAAGAACGTGAGCAGTAGTGCAGCCCGTTGGCTTTTTGGATTTGGTCCAAGTTTTGGGCCTGAGTTTTTTTGTTCGGCTATAGAAAATGAACTTTATTGGCCTGAAGGTATACTTTTATATACAGTATGTGATCTTTTCTCAAGAGGCTTCTTTCTCTTAATATCCATATTAGCATTATTAGTTTATCAAGCACATGTCAATCAAATGCTGAGTTGAACTACACATTGCATTGTCTACTGTGATTTAAGATCTTTTTAAGCATTCAGTGATATAACTAAAATTGAAACATGCAAAAAGATAAAGCCAGAAGTTAACCACTTCGTTCCAGCTGTTCCAAAAGACCAAAAGAAATAGAAAAAGGGGCTTTGAAGCCCCTTAGAAAAGGGGTTTCAAAGCCTACTCCTTTAGGCTTTGAAACTTCATTGTCATCCACTTTCTTCTCTTTTCTTTTTCCGGCTCTTCCTCCCCGACTCCATCATTTTGGTAAATATTCCATAGGTCATACATATGATAATTACTTTAATTTGAACTAGATTATCTCCAAATTTTTCTTATGTAACACTTTGATGCACATCTTTATATGTAAAGCTTTTCCATATCTAGGACAATTTGTAAAAGTAGAATTCTTGGGTCAAATGGTATCAACAGATATATTATTGCCAAATTGGTTTTGAGAAATATTTGTAGAAATTTATACTGTCTCTAACGATGCCTCTTTCACCACACCTTTTATCGTCCTGGTCATTATAATTCTTTTTCACGTTCGTTCCTCAGATGGACGAAAAGTGGTCTCTCCTTGGTATTTTAATGGCATTTTGGTTTTTATGCATCAGTATAGATTAGGTTAGACTAGCCTGGATAAGAGTGTTTAATTCTTTGCAGTAAGGTTGTTGTAGGGTTGGTATTTAGTGTATATTGGCTTGTAACGCTGATTACTGAATTCAAACACTTTTGTTTTCCAGACCCTGTAAGATTTGGATATGTCCTTTATATTTGACTGGATTTACAGCGGTTTCAGCAGTGTGCTACAGTTTTTAGGTAATGCTGGCCCATTTCTATTATCCATTTAAGCCTACATGTATAAAAATACTGATTTGTCTAGAGCCACTTTATAATATACTCAGTAGTTATGAGTGTGGGCTTTGCAGTTGTACAAACATGTTTAATGATTTATTGTATCTCTTCCTTCCTCTCCATAAAAATATGGAATAAAAATCATTTTTTTAAGAAAGAAATGGGCTATTAAGCCATGAAAAGACATGAGGGACTCTTAAGTGCATGTTACTAAGTGAAAGAAGCCAGTCTGAAAGGACTACATACTATGAGATTTCAACTACATGACATGCTAGGAAAGGCAAAAGCATGGAGACAAAAACAGTCGGAGGTTGCCGGACAGCGGGGGTGGGGTTGGGGCAGGATGAACAGGCAGAGCACAGATGATTTTCAGGGGATTGAAAGTTTTTTGTATCATATTATAGTGACATTATAGAGGTATAATGACAAAGGTGTGCCATCATACCTTTGTCCAAACAGAGTGTACACCACCAAGAGTGAGCCCTCAGGTAAACTTTGGGTGATTATGATACATCAGTAGAGGTTCATCCTTGGTTGAAAAGATATCGCTTTGGTGAGTGACATTGATAATATTTGGGGACAGGAGGTATATGGGGAATTTTTGCCTTTCTCTCGATTTTGTTGTAAACCTAAAACTGCTCTTAAAAACAAAAAGTCTTTGAAGAAAAATTATAAAAGTCAATGTGGAATTTTGCAGTAAATGCCCATCTACTACAATTTGGTCACTGCTGTCTTTTTTATCACTTTATCAATGCTTAGTTGATACATCTGAAATTATGTGCTTTTTTGTTGTTTTTTCTTAGTTTTATGAAATCATGTGAATGGTTTAACCTTACTCTAAGGAAAATTTGACAATGAACCAAACTTTCACTGAAATACTCACTGATTTTTGTCAAAATACCTAATTTCATCCATCAAATTTGCTTTAATTTTTCTTTTGATCTAACTTCATAAATACATGATTTCAACTACTTTATGAATGTTTCTCTAGTAGAAGACACATATATTTTCCCCAAAATTGTCAAGGGGATGGCATTTTGGCACTGCAGATAAGTTTAATTTTATAATTATTTGAATTCCCAAATTATAATACATTTAAAATAGCTCTTCAAAACTAAAATTAGGTCACAAATCCAAGCTTATTCAGGCCAGCTTATAAAGTCTTAAAAGTTCAAAAGGTGTTTCTTATTTTTCTTTTTTAAAAAAAACACTTTGTTTAATTTTAGAGAGAGGAGAAAGGAGGGAGAAAGAAAGGAAGAGAAACACTAATTGGTTGTCTCTTGCACATGCCCCAACTGGGGACCTAACCTGCAACCTAGGCATGTGCCCTGACCAGAATCAAACCAGTGACCATTCTTCCCACAGAACGAGGCCCAACCAACTGAGCCATACCAGTTAGGGCTAAAAAGGTGTTTCTTTATAAAAAATCTAGAGTAATTAGGGAAAGTATCTAAATAACTAAACTGGTAGTGTACTTTTACTGAAGGTCATTTTATTTGGACAACTTGTGTCAGATGTTACTTTGACTAATCATAGCTCTCTCTACAGGATTATATAAGAAAACTGGTAAATTGGTATTTCTCGGACTGGATAATGCGGGAAAAACAACCTTGCTGCACATGCTAAAAGATGACAGACTCGGCCAGCACGTCCCGACACTACATCCCAGTAAGCACCCTCTCCCATGCAGTGTTGTTACTTGTCTGCGATACTGACTTGTAGATGCCAACCAAAACTGTTTTTGTTTTGGGGTTTTTTTTGGTGGATAAATTATAATCAGGTTATTTGACCTGTTTTTAAATAGTAAATAGTAGGTGACCCAATTCCCAGGGAATATATTTAAATCTTGAAACAATACTCATATGTTCTTATCAGTTAGTACACCCTTCTTCAGCTAGAGGAATGAAAAAGTTATTGTCTCAGGGACTGTGATGTAATTGAGGCCTGTCCAACCAGATGTCACTGAGGCTGCATAAGTCACCATAGCCTTGTTTGCATGAACAATGACTTAACACATACCATCCTGTATATGAGGTTGTATAATAGGCACCTTTTGAAAAAGTAAAGTTAAACTGACAAAGTTATTCCGAAGAAACTTATCAATAACTGGAATCTCACTTTGACTGTTGAAAAGACTATGAGTCAAGTAGATACAGAGTTTAAAGACAATTTAATCCACAGATTGATTATAGAATAATGAGTGTGGTGTTAATAATAAGTGTAACATTGAGAACTGGACCAAAAAACAGATAATATGATAGTTATATGGTTCGGTAAATAATCAAAAAATAAGGAGTGAGAACAGGACAGAACAAAGTACCATTTTATCTATAAAACTATTAGTGAAGTTGGGAAAGGAAGATTTCATAAAATTGACAAATCTTTTTTTATATTAGGAGGAGAGAGTGGGGCTTGGCAAGTAAGATTGTGATACAAGAACAGTACTGTTCAAGGAAATCGATCATGGTGAAATTGATCATGGTGAAATTGAGTTTGTAAAATTGTCTGCAAAACAGCAGCATTGGAAGAGACTATATTAGGTGTAAGTCACATTTTAGTTTTTTGATGTTGCTCTCTTGTGTCTATTCGACAAACACCTACCGAGCACCTGCTTTATGTTAGACGTCGCTCTGAGTGCCAGGGGTGAAAGCAGGGGCACGAAACAGTTGCTGTCTCAGCCTTCCTGCGCTCACGTTCACTTCAGTTCCTATCTCTCAGTTAACCAAAAGTATACGTGAAAAAAGTAACATATATCTGCCTTGTGATCTGGCAGTTCCCCTACTAGGTATTTATTTAAGAGAAGTAAAAACATATGTTCACCAGAATCCTTGTACAAGAATGTTTATACTAGCTTTATTTGTAATAGCCAGAAACTGGAAACAGCTCAGAAATTCATCAAAAAAGAATGGGTAAACAGTGGAATTCTAGTCAATATGAAAGAGGAATAAACCACTGATGCACATACTAATGCACATTATACTGCATGGAAGAAGCTGGTTACAAAAAAATTACATACTGTATGGTCCTATTTATATGAAATTCGAGAACAGGCCAAACTAACCTGTGGTGACTGAATTCAGATCAGTAGTTGTATCTGGGAGTGGAGGCAGGGACTGCCTGGCAAGGGGCTAGAGGAAGCCTCCTGGGATGTTAACAGTGTTCTGTATCTTAGTTAATCACACTGGGACTTTTTAAATAAAGCAGGGAGTATAACCATAGAGGAAGTTTGAAAACCACATCCAAGCATTATCTTTTCCTTATGGAAAGGAACACACTTGGCCCACGAATTGCATTAACTATTTATTCAGTTGGCACACTATGTACAGAATTTTTAACAAGATAAACTACTCTGGGGCCTCAGCAGTTACTGAGTAGTAAACAATTACACTGAACCTTTCATTGTATTGTAGGAGACTTCTGCTTTTGGCCATGAGGGAGTAACAGAGTCTGGAATTACCTTCCCACTGTAAACAACTAGGAAACTGGACAAAAATCTATACTACAGCTGTTTTCAGATGTGGGACAACAGCGAGCATATGTGACTCCTGAGAGAAGGAAAGCAAACCCTTATTTAGTCAAGCTTTACCACAGGAGATCATTTCAGACCACGGTGCAGGGAGTGGACATCCAAACATAACCCAGAAGTCTTGCCAAGTTGAGGAGACAGAGACCAGCATTTGGAGAGGCAGAGGTGACTAGCATTTGCTGGGCAAGAGTGCCAGAGAGGAAGGAGCTCTGTAAAGAAAGAACTCCAGGACTTTTTGTGGCTGAACACCAATCTGTGCGTGCATAGGGGTAAAACTCCACGTGGCCATAGAACAGTTTCTGGAGGAAAGGTTATATGGAGATGTTAGCCAAATAGTTCCTAGTGCTCACACGGCCCCAGGAGTCATTCATGTTCCCATCAGCCAGAATGGAGAGATCTGGTTGAATGCACAGGACATTTGGTAGAAACTCCAAAAGGATCAGACCTTAGTAATGGGTTAAAGTAGCCTCAAAGTAAAGGCTACTTTAGATCTGCCCTAACAAAGCTTAAAAACTGATCTGCGGTCAGTTTAACTGCCTGTCAGAACGAAGGCCACTTTCTTCAACAGAATATAACAAAATCCACCCTCCAATCAAAAAATTACTAGACATGCAAAAAAGCAGAAAAGTATAATCCATACCCAGGAGAAAAATTAATCAGTAGAAACAGATCCAGAAGTGACAAAAATGATGGAATTTGCAGATAAGAAAGTTAAAAGAGCTGTTCTGAATGTGCTCAAGTATTTAAGGAAAACATGAACATAATGAGAGAAATGAAAGATATAAAAGAACCAAATGGAACATCCAGAAATAAAAAAATAGAATATCTGAAATGGAATTTTCCCTGGATGGGATTAACAGCAAACTAGTGCCAGAACTGCAGAAGGAAAGGCCAGTGAACTTAAGTCAGTGCAATAGAAACAGAAGATGAAGCACAGAGGGAAAAATGACTGACAAACAAATGACAGAGCCTTGGTCACTGTGGGACAATACCAAGCCATCTAGCAGACCCATTCTTGAAGTCCCAGGAGGAGAAGGTAGGGAGCGGAAAAAATATTTGAAGAAATAATGGCCAACTGTCTTTTGTTATCCTTGTGTTTGTCATTAAAGACTGTCCCCTGTAAAATTTGACAGCCATGAGAGAACACCGTGTATTTCACCTGCATCGTTTAAGCCAACTCGACTTGCAGGAAAAGCTGTTAGGTTGGAAGAGTCACTTGAATTCACAAAAAATAATTGTCTGAATAGATTAAGGTTTCCAACAGGAGAAACGGGGAAGGAAAGATACGTGAGTGGTGGATCTGTGGTAGGCAGTGAGCACTAGCACTGAACATCCCCTTCATTGCTGGCACGGGGTCACTGTGAACTGGAGTACACCTAAGTCCGACAAGAATTCCTTTATTAGTTCCTGAATGTTTGGTTTGACCTTAATTGCCATTAAAATAAATCAAACATTAAACAATATATGCCATGAATAGATTTCTGATTTTCGTGTTATAAAAATATATTTTTTATTATTTAGCTTCAGAAGAATTAACCATTGCTGGCATGACCTTTACAACTTTTGATTTGGGAGGACATGTTCAAGGTAAGATTCTGTTCCTCTTACAGTGGCTTTATTTTAACCTAATGAAAAGGTGACCGTGATGTTCCAGTGCATGAAGCCTCCTTCTGCTCAAGCAAGGCCGAAGTAGACTTAACATTTAGGAATTATTACCCCCAGATAAATGTTTTAAAGGTAAAGAGTGATTTTTCATGAAACCCCGTGTCAGTTTAAGTTGGAGGTGCTCTTGGTGTGAAGCAAGCGAGTCAAACTGAGCCTCCATTCTCTCTCTGCGCTAACCCGCCTCTCACCCACTGTCCCATCACACAGTGACTGTCACTGCTCTGTATGAAAAACCTTCACTGGCTAAGTCTTCACCTACAAATTAAAGGCCAGACTCATAGATCTGGCATTTGGGATCTCTACGATCCAATTCCAGTTTACTTTTTATGTCTTTATTTCCTACGGTTCCCCTTTCCATTCTCTTTACTCCAGCCAAACCGAAACCTCCCAGTGTTCTCCTGCCTCTGTGCTTTTGCTCATGCCACCCCCATCTGCACATGAGCAACCCACCTTAGGGCCCAGGGCGAGGGCTGCTACCTTCCCCGATGAGCTGCATGCAGCTGGGAGTGCTCCCTTCTACACTTCCACAGCTCCGAGGGCGCCTGTGTGCATGTCTACAAGTTTGGGATAACTGTCTTATCTCCTCTCCCAAACTCGCTGGGACTGAAACCCTATTCATTTTTTCTATCTGCAAAAGGATTTGGTGGTATCCAGCACATAGTAATTCACAAATGAAGAACGGTACAAAGTTGGTGGGCCTTCTAAAAACCTCATGAGAAATAGTGGAAAAGATTTTAAGTGATGTGGTTAGTGAAAGCACATCTGAGACATAATGATTGTTTGAAATACGCATAAAGTAATTTCATAAAGTTAATTTCTGAAATACACATAAAGTAATTTCTGGAATATAATACTTAGAGGGAATTAGATCCTATTGGAGCTCATCTGAGACTTCGTTTCTATATTGTTTTTAAGATATGTCATAATACTGAAGCCAGAGAAAAAAGGTCTTTTCCTCTGAGGTATCCCAAAAACTCTTCTCCTCTAGAAAAGAATGCCATGGAAATAACTACCCTAATGGTGCTATAGACTTTAAGTTCTGTTATGAATGGAACAGTTTGTTTTTATTATTTTAACTTAAGTCTACACCTGGTACTAATTTCCTTCTGCCACTGACTCCAAATTTACCATTGGCAAAAACAAAAAAAACTGATAAGCTAGAAATGTCAAAAAACGAATATGCAAAGGAAAATAGTAGCAGTTCTCCAATGAACTTAACAAGCATCGTTGTCCATTGGTAACAGACGGGACATGGGGCAGAGTAAAGCGTTGAGTTGCCCACAGTCAAGGAAAGCCTGACATTTCTTCTTCCGGAGAGAACTTGACAACACTGGGTAAAAGACTAACTCGAGTAGATAGTGAAGGAGCAGCAGCTAAGGGGTGTTACACTTGGTATCTTATCGGACTTGCATCAGACCACCTGCTAGCTTTGACCGGCAAATGAAATCTAACTCCTGATTGTTTTTGTTAGCTCGAAGAGTGTGGAAAAACTACCTTCCTGCTATCAATGGCATTGTATTTCTGGTGGATTGTGCAGACCATGAAAGGCTGTTAGAATCAAAAGAAGAACTTGATGTAAGTTAAATGATTACAATGAAACACAGTCGAATGGCTAGGAAGTCTGAGAAAATAGGTTGGCAATCTCGGTGTCAGGGTGCAGCTTTTCTGTGGTCTCCAGTGTACCTCCTGGCAGTCGGTGGAGCTCGGTGACTACTTAGGATGCAGAGGGAGCAGCTGCTGAGGAAGTGCCGACGCAGACTTCCTTCTTGAAGGCTTGCGCTCCCTCTGTGCAGTGTGCCCCCGGAGTGCATGTCATGTCGTTCCATTCCTGGAGTGGCTTGATCTTGAGTCCTGGTCATACTAGGATGCCAGCTTCTTAAGGAGTTGGCTAGAACCTGGAAATGGTGTAACAGACTATCTTAGTCACCTCTGCCAGGAATGAGCAGGGCCGTGTGTAGCTACTTCCCCTGGATCAGATGCTTCTAAAAGGGGCTCAGGAGCAGCAGGCAAGGCCAGTGCTACTTCAAGGGCCTCAGAGAGAGCAGGCCCATGATTTGTCTGAAGGTTGGCCTGCCCACGCCTCTGCCCAGAACCGGCACACAGATTCTTGTTCGTGTGAAAAGTCCAGGTAGGCTCTGTGGTCATGAAACAGGGTCAGGGAGTTGCTGAGTTGCCACCTGATGCCATACACAACGTATAGCACCTCATTTAATCCTAATTCTCAAAGCACCTCCATAACGTAGGTGCTGCTACTCTAAACTCTCTTTGAATCTCAGAGAGACCTACTTGTCCAAGATCTCCCAGCTTGGAAGCAGCAGAACTAGAAATGAAACCAGTCTGCCCATTTTCAAGGCGTTGGCTCTCGTCCCTGTACCTCCTGATGCACAGAGCAAGCAATGCGAGCATCTACAGAAGGAGCCTTAGGGAGACGGAAAAATGGAGCTGGTGGTTCACCGAGCTCACTTTCAACAGAGGAAGAGTTTGCCAGAGAAAGTTGGCAAAACTGGCACGTTGTGACGGGGAACGAGTCCTTCATGCCCATTTGTTGTCTTGTCAGAACAGTCCTTCGGAGGGTTTCGTGCTGACATTTTGTGTTTCTTTCTGTGTTGATTGTTTCCAGTCACTAATGACAGATGAGACCATTGCTAATGTGCCTATACTGATCTTTGGGAATAAGATCGACAGACCTGAAGCCATCAGTGAAGAGCGGTTACGAGAGATGTTTGGTTTATACGGTCAGACGACAGGAAAGGTAAAAAAAAAGTTTGACAAGTATGAATATTTCATTCAACAGTATATTTTTATCTTCTGAAATAGTTTATTTCAACCCCTAACAGTAATCATGTTATTAGTCTAATTGGTACAGTCTGCCTTCATTTTTTTTTAAATTAAGGTATAATTGACATATAACATTATATTAGATTCATGTGTACAACAAAATGTGTTTATACATTGCTATTGTTCAACTACAAAAGCTGATTATCTTTTTTTTCTTAAAAACTATAATTTACTGAACATAACTAATCATTAGGGAAATGCAAATCAAAACCACACACACACCAGTCAAAATGGCTATTATCAAAAAGTTAACAAATAGTCCTGGCTGGTGTGGCTCAGTGGATTGAGTACCGGCCTGCAAACCAAAGGGCTGCTGGTTCGATTCCCAGTCAGGGCACATGCCTGTGTTGCAGGCCAGGTTACTAGTAGGGGGCATGCAGTAGGCAACCACACATTGATGTTTCCCTCTCTTTCTCCCTTCCTTCCACTCTCTAAAAATAAATAAAATCTTTTTTTTTTTTAATTTTAAGAAAAAGTTAATAACGTGTTGGCAAGGATGTGGAGAAAAGGGAACCCTTGAGCACTGTTGATGGGAATGTTAAATGGTGTAGCCTCTGTGGAAAACAGTATGGAGGTTCCTCAAAAAATTAAAAGTAGAACTACAGTATGACCCAGCAAGTCCACTTCTGGGTATTTATCTGCATTTGTTGAAAACACTAATTAGGAAAGATATATACACTCCTGTTTTCAGTGTGTGTGTGTTAGGCAGAAATTAGAAAAGAAATTTTGCCATTTGCAACAACATGAGCCTAGAGGCTGCTGTGCCAAGTGAATCAGTGAGACAAATACTGTATGGTTTTACTCCTATGTGGAATCTAAAAAACAAAACAAAACAACGAACAAACAAAACAAAGCAGAAACAGACACCAAAGGTATGGTTGCTGAGGGCGAGGGGCAGGGGATTGGGTGAAAAAGGTGAAGGGGAACAAGCCAATAATATTGTGATAAGTTTACATGGTGACAGATGATGACTAGAATTAGTGGGGGGACCACATTGTGAAGTATACAAATGTTGAATTACTATATTGTACACCTGACATTAGTAGAACTAATAAAACATTGTATACCACCCACACTTAAGTAAAAATGCCTGTCATTGAAATGTTTTGGCCTTTTTTAATGTCCTCACTTGCTTTCTTTCTACCACTGAATGAGACCTTCTCTTGGTGATAAAAATGTCAAAGCATATGTTTATAGGAAACTAAATGAAAGCTTTCAAATTATTAAAAAAATAAATTTTCAAGCCCTGGCTGGCGTAGCTCAGTGGATTGAGCACGGGCTGCGAACCAAAGTGTCGCAGGTTCGATTCCCAGTCAGGGTACATGCCTGGGTTGCAGGCCATGACCCCCAGCAACTGCACACTGATGTTTCTGTTTCTGTTTCTCTCTCTCTCTCTCTCCCTCCCCCTCCCTTCCCTCTCTAAAAATAGTTTAAAAAAATAAATTTTCAGAATTCACTACCAAATAATATGCTTGAATGCTTAAACATACCAGTAGTGTATTTAGGCCTCCAGTTCAGTGTTAAGGCCCTGAACTCACTAGAGACAAAAATAGAACATAAGTAAACTTGGGCGGAGGAGTGTTTTAGTGTTTTCTGAATGTATGCTTTAAAAAGATGCATTTTTTGCATTCATTTCTACTAGTATTTGTTTGGGAGAGGGACTTTTAGTAACTCAGTTCCATATTAATTTTAGGAAATGCCTTGTTTTGTCATAAAACCTTGACTCAGAGAATATTCATCCTTAATATTTGTGAAGCCGGTTTGAGTAACTTGAACTTTTTCCAGGCCAGTCAAAGACTTTGCATTCTGTGTGCCTCACAGGCCGACCTCTGTCCCATCTGTCCTAAAGCAAAACGAGAGGACGCAGGTGCCAGCCGTGGCTGCATCTCTGTCACCTGTTGTTCTGAGACATGCGAACTGCCCCTTTCCTGGGGAGCGGAGCTTTTGTTTCATGAGGGGTCTCCAGCATGACGCCTGTCTTCTCTTCCAGGGCAACGTGCCTCTGAAAGAACTGAACGCCCGGCCCCTAGAAGTCTTCATGTGCAGTGTGCTCAAACGGCAAGGCTACGGAGAAGGCTTCCGCTGGATGGCCCAGTACATCGATTAACGGCCCCCGCCGCAGCCCCGGTCCAGCCTCGCCGCCACACAGGCCTGCTCCGAGATTTGATTGCTGACCATGCATAACTTGAATTCAATAGACTTTCATTGGTTAGAAAACAGATATTTTTTAGATTATTAATATTATATCAACTTAATTTGAATGAGAATTGAAATCCAATTCAAATAAGTTTGACTATCACAATGTTAGCTTTCTAATTCCACGAAGATACTTAGTTTTTACTCTTTGTAATCTGACATGCCCCCCAGCACCATTTATAAAGAGCAGCTTCCCAGCAGGACATTTGAAGCAGTTTTTAACAATATGAAACTACAAATATAAACCACAATTAAAAGCTCATCATGTTAAATTTTTATGTACTTTTTGGAACTAGTTTTTCAATTTTAGATTATGTACACTCACCTACCTGGAGTGTACAGTTAATAATTAGCTTATTGATGATTGCATGATGCCTTACAGGTTTTGGTATTTTTTCTTATGCAAACGTCATGCAATAAAACAGACCCTCATGTTTGGCATCACTGCTGGACAGGTGTTCCGTTTTAGTGTCTTACCTAGCCAGCGTGCTCTGAAACTTGGAGTATTTACATTATACATGTGAGGTAGTTGTCGAGAAAGAGGTCTGCTTCAGGATGCTTAGAGCAGTGTTCCAGCCCTGGAGACGTCCGCACTTGCCAGGAGATGGGCTGTGCTTGGTTGTCCCTCACACCACATTTCTCTCTGATCCGGTACATTTTTGCAGCAACACTACCGTCCCCAGCACCACGGGGGTCCGTGGCCCAGCCCCCATGGGACTGCTTCTGGAGGAAAACACGGCGCCCGCTGCAGCAGAGGCCCCTGTCGCTGTGTTCCTGTTGTCTCTTTCTGAAGTGTGCTGGTCCTCTGTGCCTCGTCACCAAACGTGGTGACAGGCACCAGTCTCCCCACGTTCATAGTTCATGGCACTTCCCAGGGCAAGTGACTGTGGGTCCTCGTGCAGCCTGTGGACGCGAGGGGAAGCAAAGCCTGTCCTGCTGCAGCAGTCCTGCAGGTTGCAGGGGTTTGCTCCTGCCCTAAACCTCGTTTGCATCCTTCGCCATATTTTACTTGTTGGAAAGAAAAAGAATGCTTGTGTTTCATTGTCCTTTTCCTCAGTCGCTCTCAGCCAGCTGCTCACAGTGTGGCACAAAGGCTTTTATTTTTAGAGGTGACGCTGGTCATGTGATCGTGTTCGCGAGCCTCGCTGACAGCCTCACCAACAAAAGTGTGGCCAGCTTTTTAATGCATTCTAATTTCCTAAGACACTGAGTCCTTTTTCCATTTAAGATCCCCCTAATTAGTAAAATCAGATGAAAGATAAGTGCCAAGTATGTATCTTTAAAGACTCTTAAGCTTAAGATTTCTCTGTTGGTTACAGGCCAAGATTTTACAGTGTATTTAACCAATTGCATTGAGGATATATTGTTCCAATGCCATCAAGGATAATTTAAATATTAAAATTAGTGTTTTCTGTAGCCGTTGTCCAAATCAGTTTGTTGTGTCCTCTCGTCAGCGATGGGAGGTAGGAGCGGACAAGGACTGAGGGTCCTGACCAGAAGGGACTTTCTGAACATGACCCGTGGGTGTAGTACTTTGGCTATTCTATTTTACTTTCAGCTTCCTCCCTGCTTAGAAACATCAGTAGCACCATGGGAAAAGTAGGTTGGGTTTATTTGGCCTGATATGGTTAAGGTCCTCACTTCTGATGCCCTGACCACACAGAACTAGACCTTACTGAAGGTGACTGCCTCTTGTTGATGGTGTGTTTCTTCAGTTCAAGTATTATTTCCTAAGATCTATTGTGATGCTTCAGAAGTCAACTGTGTGTCTCATAAATTGGTATAAAGGCAGAAGCTTACTGGTTTCCCCAGGAGGGGAGCAATGCTTTCTGGTACAAACCACCTTGCTCCAGAATTTTCTTTCTGGTTCTGACTCTGGGATCAAAGAAACTCAGAGCCACTTTGTGGGCCGTACCTAAACTGTGGGTGTTTTCCCGTTGATGTGTGGCCTGAACCCCTAGAAAAAGAGCTGCATGTAGCAGCCACATCTGTCCTTCGAACGCCAGGGACACAGACCTGCAGCGTCCCAGCCAGGGGCGGCGCTCCAGCTCCGAGGCTCCTCGGGCACTCACCCCGAGCCCTGGCGCTCAGGAGGGCGGCAGGGCGTGGTGCAGCACCTGGGGGACTGGGGAAGGCACTCTGCATGCGCGCCCGGGAGGGGGAGCGCCTTTTGGGGAAGATGGATGGCCCTGTTGGGGGTGCAGATTAATGTTGTGCCTCCACTGCAAGGTGGGAAAATGGGCTTGTTAATACTCGTATGCAGGGGAAGGTTTGGTTCCTTATACACTGGGCGCCGTCCAAAAGATGTTTTAAAATCTTAATTCTAAAACTAAAAGTACAAAGTCTTAGTCCACTTTTGTATTTCTAAAGAGATTCTTAACCCCACACCTATTTCAATGACTACTGTTAATTTTATTTTGGGGTAACTGGTTAAATTGATAGATTCCTGTTGTCTTTACCTCAGTCTTTTTAGAATGGAGAGTACAGCACTTTCTGAATCAGGGCACAGACACTTCTTAAAGCACAGTCATGCCCCCTGACCCCACAGAGACAAGTTCTGAGACAGCCGGGTGCTTGAAACTGCAGATGGTGCTGAGCCCTCTGTGCTGTGTTTCTTTTGTTTTCGCAATACAGACACAGCATTTCGCTTTAAGGAAGCACTGTGTGGCCCTCTTTGGCATATCCACATGCCAGCACCATTACTCCAGTGCTTCGGGGCCATTGTTAAATAAAAGAGGGTCAGTGGGGCCCGGGCACTGACCCTCACTTGCGCCAGCTGCTGAGTGACCGACAGGCAGGCGGTGTGTACCGAGTGGACTCACTGGACGGAGGGATGACTCACGTCTTGGGTGCAATGGAGCAGGCGGCATGAGAGTTCATCACGGTGCTTGACTCAGAGTGGTGTGCAGTTTAAAATGTGTGGATTTTTTATTTTTGGAGTTTCCTATATAATATTTTTAGATCATGGTTGACCACTGGTAACTGAAACCTCAGAAAGTGAAGCCATGGATACGAGGGGGGGACTACTGCGTATGAAAAACATTCTTTACCGCAGCTCAGTTAACCCAGTGTCTCTGAGTGCCAAACACGCGTGAATTCAGACACTGCCGCACAGATCTAAATTCCAGTTCCATGTGCCTGTGCACCCCGCACGTGTGCTGAGGTTCACAACGTCTGAGCAGAACGTTGTCTCTTCGGCTTAGTTTTCAGCCGGCTCACACTTCTCTACGGCGCTTTCCAGGACGTGGACGCCTCATGAGTCACTACGACAGGGTCCTCGCTGTGCTGATGATGGTGCTGCTCGCCTTCTGCAAAATGGTTTGATCAACCACATTCAAAATCCAGCATCTTCCCGAGTCCCGCCATTAAAAACTATACTTTTACATCAGTGTTTTTTTTCTCTCTCTCTAAAACAAATAAACATATCCTCTGGTGAGGATTAAACACAAACAGTATACTTCTTACTTAATATGATTTGGGAGAAAAGTTCACGTTTTGTAGACTGTAAGTGGTGTGTGGCCAGTGTGGCGTTTCAGCCTTGTCAGTCACGTATATGACTGAAGTTTGCAAGAATTCATTGCCAAATAACTTTTTACTGTAGTGCACTGATAATAACTAATATAAAGGAAGTCTCTCAAAAAGTCTTGTGTTCATTTTCTTTAGTGAATAATGTTTGGATCATCTTAAACATTTAAAAGTTGGTGAAGCTCCAAAAAAAAAAAAATTCCAAGAAAGCATGAAAAGTAGAGAGTAGCAAATAGAAATTCCTTAATTTAAAGTGAATAGGAAATTAGAGGTTTTCTCTAAGCCTTTGCTATATTTTGATGTAAGTATGGATTCAGAAAACAATAAATCTTCAGTGAAAGACTAAATTCTCAAAGCTCCCTGTTGATGCTTCTGGTTATTTCTGTCATTGCCCTTCTTTCGAAATGCAGATTAGGGCGTTGTAACCAAATAGTGAAAAAGAACAAGTCCTTGTAATGTGGGACTGTCCCTCCGTGCAAAGTGACAGGGATTTTGTTAAAACCACGTCTCCAGTCCCGAACCCTCACACAGCCCCCTACCCCACACCAGGACACAACGATCCCTGCATGGGAAGGGCATCTCCAGTCTATCGAAGATGCAGTTCTGAAACAACTAATTTGTGTCTTAGTAATTTAGAACATCGAGTAGCTGGTACATGTAAGACCACTGGTGGTTCGGGGCTTTGACCACACTTTTGAATAGAGTCCGAAGTAACCAGTCAAGCAAGCAAGTTTATGCGAAGCCCACTTTGTCTCAGGGGTGTTCTCACCCCAAACTGATTAGGCAGAAATGGGAAAGGCTTTTGTGTGATTTTACACAGAACTGTTTTTGGAAACCTCTACTGGAGTGGATGAATTCTTCAGCATGTACTTCAAATAGGGGAGGGAGTATTAGGTTTAATGTTTAAAAAAATTAGAGGTAAGCCCTTGGCGGCGTGGCTCAGTTGGTTGGAGTATCATCCTGTAAACCAAAGTTGCGGGTTCGATTCCCGATTGGGGCCCATGCCTGGGTTGTGGGTTTCTCCCCAGTCAGCATAGGTTCAAGAAGCAACCAATCCGTGTTTCTCTCTCTCTCCTTTCCTCCCTCTAACTATCAATGACTGTGTCCTCAGGTGAGGATAAAAAAATTTCCTTGGAGGTAAAAAAAAAGTCTAAAAAAATGGATGGAGGAAAAAGGGTACAGTGTCTGCCATCCGAGTTGTCTTTGGGACCTTTTCACTAGCAAGCATGAGGGTTCACGTGGGAACGGCCAGCCAGCTCTGCATGGTTCCCGGCTGCAGTCCCCGGTGCCGCTCCTCACCGGAACCCAGGCGGCTGCCACACTGAGGCCGCAGCACGTGGGCAGATGTAGCCAAGAGACTCCGAAGTGATCAGTGTTTCCCATGGTGAGGCCTCCAGGACCTGGCTAAATGCAGAATGTGCTGCCGTGGTGAGGTGGCAATACACTCTTCATCACTGACCCTGTCTGCACTTTGTACGCTGCTTGCACGAGCATCTTAGTGTGGTTTCAACAGTTGTTTTACAGTGTATACAGATTGTTAAGCATAATTTATAGAAAGATGTTTCTGTTTACCTTTATATATTTTACAAAGAACTGTCAATACAATAGATAGTAAATGTTCTTGGATTGTGTTTGTATGTTATTTTATTATGTTCTATTATAACCCCTTCACCCCCTACCTACAGATTTGACTGTCAGGAGTAGAAAAATAAAACTCCATCCTGGACTCTGAAAAACTCTAGTATCAAGTGCCATTTTAACCGTCCAATTGTAATTTTCATTTTACTCATTAGACTTTGAAATTGGGAAGATGATGGAACTTTCCCTGTGTACAAGGCTCCCACGGGACCTTTGCTGCAGCACCGAGGGTTACGCTGCCTTGTGGGACTGGCGACGACTGTGAGCACACCGACGCCGGACCTCCACGACGCTGCCTCTGTTGAAACGTGGAAAGTAAGGCGACCAATTGGTTTTCCCTCCATCAGGGTTCCGTTAGCGTGCATCAGTCTCCTGGGGCGCTTTAACACACACACACACACACACACACACACACACACACAGGAAAAACCCCACCAAAGCCTGACTCAGCAGATATGGGGGCAGGGCAGCGATCTGAACCTGTGACGAGCTCCACACCTTTTCTGGGGCTAGGGTGGGTTTTTCATTTAGGAGAAGCAGTGACGTAACAGTACTGAAGACTAACAACACTAAGCAATCATTAGCCAATCAGAGAAGAAAAAAACCATTTTGGTAATGATGATCAAAAGCTCCTTTTGAGACTTAAATGCAGATATAAGACCTTTCGACAGCCTCCCCTTCAGCCTTCCCGTGAACCACGTGCAGAATGGCGACGAGCTAGCTTCCTGACAGAACCCATCCTGCCGCTCTGTCACAGCTGGTCCATCAGATCGAGATTTACCTGTGGACTCAGGTTGTTTGTTGAATTGCAACTAAGGAGATAGAAATAGTAACTGCACTGAAGGAACAAATGCTAAGAAAGTCCAGTTTACTTGGCTCTTTTTTTTAATTGAGCTCCATAATCATCAAGTAGAATATCTGATACTTGTACCAAAGGTACCAGTAATGCAAGCAACAGCCCCCAGCAGGGTATGAGAAGCACCTTGTTGGGAATGGGGAAACGTCCTAGGAAACGATGCAAACAGCCCTCTGGGCACTGGCCACCCTCCTCCTCTTTGCAAGGTGAGAACAGCAGCACAGAATCCTGATGAGTAAAGACCAAAGTCCTTGGACCAGACAAAACAAAGGTCCTCACACAAGGCTAATGGTTCTTCTGGGGGTTCGATTCATTCACAAAAGTTGGGGCCCCTGCTTACAAAGCCTCTTATCTCAGTTTAATTAAAATTAGACGCCAAGTTCAATTCTGTCTGTTA